GAAAAATTAAACGGACGAGCCCCCAATCCACGAATCACGCACATGCACGAAAATTAGCACACACCTCAAACATGCCAAAACATACGAAAAAGTCTCTTGGAGCCATATCTCAAACCCAACAGGAAGTCGGATATTTTTAACTTCCTGCGGCGAAAAAGTGGCGTTTTTGCCATTTCCAGGCGTTGTATTTTAACGAACTCCTCCTAGGGATTTTATCCGATCTACACCAAAATTGGGTTTTGTCATCTAAAGGCCTTGGCGATGTTAAATTGCGAAGCTTTAGAGTTTTCGTCGATGGGCGTGTCCGTGGCGGCCTCGCAAACTTTGACGATTCGCCACAAAAGAGGAAGTAGTTATAACTCAGGCATGCATTATCTGATCTGCCTCAAAACACACACGCTTGATAAGCGTCCTGACCTGAACAAGTTTACATGCCGATATCCAGATACAGTTATAGCGCCACCTGCTGGCCATAGGAAATGACATGATTTACGGAGTTATAAACTCCTCCCACAAATTTTATCGTATCAACACCAAAATTGAGTGGTGTTATCTGAAAGCTCTAGCGATGTTATATTGTGAAGATCTAGAGTTTTCGCAGAGGGGCGTGTCCGTGGCGGTATGACAAACCTCAACGCTTCGCCATGGAACAGGAAGTCCTTATAACACAACCACACAATGTCCGATCTGCCTGAAACTTCATATGGTTGATAAACGTCATCTCTTGAACACATCCACATAACAATTAGTGAAGTGGGCGTGGCAAAATGACTCGACAGCGCCACCTAGAAAAATTAAACCGACGAGCCCCCGATCTGCGAATCACGCACATGCACAAAAATTGGCACACACCTCAAACATGGCAAAACATACGAAAAAGTCTCTTGGAGCCATATCTCAAACCCAACAGGAAGTCGGATATTTTTAACTTCCTGTGGCGAAAAAGTGGCGCTTTTGCCATTTTCAGGCGTTGTATTTTAACAAACTCCTCCTAGGGATTTTATCTGATAATTACCAAAATTGGGTTTTGTCATCTTAAAGCCTTGGTGATGTTAAATTGCGAAGCTTTAGAGTTTATCGATGGGCGTATCCGTGGCGGCCTCGCAAACTTTGATGATTCGCCACAAAACAGGAAGTCTTTATAACTCTGGCATGCAATATTCGATCTGCCTCAAAATTCAAACATTTAATAACAGTCCTGACCTGATCAGGTTTACGTGCCGATATCTAGTTACAGTTATAGCGCCACCTGCTGGCCACAGGAAATGACATGTTTGACACTGTAACAAACTCCTTCCACAAACTTTCACGTTACAGCACCAAAATAGAGTGGTGTCATCTGAAAGCTCTAGCGATGATATATTGTGAAGATCTAGAGTTTTTGCAGAGGGGCGTGTCTGTGGTGGCATGACAAACCTCAACGCTTCGCCATGGAACAGGAGTTTCTTATAACTCAACCACACAATGTCTGATCTGCCTGAAACTTCACATGATTGATAAAAGTCCTCTCCTGAACACATCTACATAACAATACTGAGTCAGTCATAGCGCCACCTGCTGGCAGAAGAAATTTTGGCTTGTAACTCGGCCACACAATGTCAGATCTGCCTAAAATGTCACATGGTTGATGAAAGTCCTCTCCTAAACACATCTACATAATATTATTGAGTCTTTCATAGCGCCACCTGCTGGCAGAATGTAGTTTGTCTTAAAACACAATCTCCACACAATCTCTGATCTGCCTGAAACTTCACATGGTTGATAAAAGTCTTCTCCTGAACACATCCACATAACAATATTGAGTCAGTCATAACGCCACCTGCTGGCAGAAGGTAGTTTGGCTTATAACTCAGCCACACAATGTCCCATGTGCCTGAAACTTCACATGGTTGACAAGTTTCCTCTCCGGAAGACATCTACATGCCAATCTTAAGTCACAGTTATAGCGCCACCTGCTGACAGGAGGAAGTTTGGCATAAATCTGTGATTTTCTTAGATCTTTTTTTATATATTGGCTTAAATTATTATTGTTCGCTGTTCTCTGTCATCGTAAGGTCACCGGGCGGCGGTGAGCCCGGGTGCGAGGTCCCTATCATCGCTGCTTGCAGCTTTAATTCTTCTTCTTCTTCTTCTTCTTCTTCCGCGGAATGAATCGCGGTTTTGAGGGGCTAAACATGCCCGAAAACTCACGAAACTTCGCACACGCCTCAGAAGTGGTGAAAATTTACGTTTATTATGGGTCTCGGAAAGGGGTGTGGCAAAATGACTCGACAGCGCCACCTAGAAAATTTAAACTGACGAGCCCCCGATCCACGAATCACGCAAATGCACGAAAATTGGCACACACCTCAAACACGCCAAAACATACGAAAAAGTCTCTTGGAGCCATATCTCAAACCCAACAGGAAGTCGGATATTTTTAACTTCCTGCGGCGAAAAAGTGTCATTTTTGGCATTTCTAGCCGTTGTATTTTAACGAACTCCTCCTAGAGATTTTATCCGATTGACACCAAAATTGGGTTTTGTCATCTAAAGGCCTTGGCGATGTTAAATTGCGAAGCTTTAGAGTTTTCGTCGATGGGCGTGTCCGTGGCGGCCTCGCAAACTTTGACGATTCGCCACAAAACAGGAAGTCGTTATAACTCAGGCATGCATTATCCGATCTGCCTCAAAATTCACACGTTTGATAAGAGTCCTGACCTGAACAAGTTTACATGCCGATATCCAGATACAGTTATAGTGCCACCTGCTGGCCACAGGAAATGACATGTTTTACATCGTAACAAACTCCTCCCACAAATTTTTTCGTATCAGCACCAAATTTGGGTTGTGTTATCTGAAAGCTCTAGCGATGATATATTGTGAAGATCTAGAGTTTTCGGAGAGGGGCGTGTCCGTGGCGGCATGACAAACCTCAACGCTTCGCCATGGAACAGGAAGTCCTTATATCTCAAGCACACAATGTCCGATCTGCCTGAAACTTCACATGGTTGATAAAAGTCCTCTCCTGAACACATCCTCATAACAATAATGAAATGGGTGTGGCAAAATGACTCGACAGCGCCACCTATAAAAATTAAACGGACGAGCCCCTGATCTACGAATCACGCACATGCATGAAAATTGGCACACACCTTAAACACGCCAAAACATACGAAAAAGTCTCTTGGAGCCATATCTCAAACCAAACAGGAAGTCGGATATTTTTAACTTCCTGCGGCAAATAAGTGGCATTTTTGCCATTTCCAGGCTTTGTATCTTAACGAACTCCTCCTAGGGATTTTATCCTATCGACACCAAAATTGGGTTTTGTCATCTAAAGGCCTTGGCGATGTTAAATTGCGAAGCTTTAGAGTTTTCGTTGATGGGCGTGTCCGTGGCGGCCTCGCAAACTTTGACGATTTGCCACTAAACCGGAAGTCATTATAACTCAGGCATGCATTATCCCATCTGCCTCAAAATTCACATGTTTAATATAAGTCCAGACCAGAACAAGTTTACATGCCGATATCCAGATACAGTTATAGCGCCACCCGCTGGCCACAGAAAATGTCATGATTTACAAAGTAATAAACTCATCCCACAAATTTTTTCATATCAGCGCCAAATTTGGGTGGTTGTGTATCTAAAAGCTCAAGCGATGATATATTGTGAAGATCTAGAGTTTTCGCAGAGGGGCGTGTCTGTGGTGGCATGACAAACCTCAACGCTTCGCCATGAAAAAGGAAGTCCTTATAACTCAACCACACAATGTCTGATATTCCTGAAACTTCACAGGATTGATAAAAGTCCTCTCCTGAAGACATCTACATGCCAATATTGAGTCACAGTCATAGCGCCACCTGCTGGCAGAAGGTAGTTTGGCTCATAACTCAGCCACACAATGTCCGATCTGCCTGAAAGTTCACATGGTTGATAAAAGTCTTCTCCTGAACATATCTACATAACAATATTGAGTCAGTTATAGCGCCACCTGCTGGCAGAAGGTAGTTTGTATTATAACTCAGCCAAACAATGTCAGAACTGCTTGAAACTTCACATGGTTGATAAAATTATTCTCCTAAAGACATCTACATGACAATACTGAGTCACAGTCATAGCGCCACCTGCTGATAGGAGGAAGTTTGGCATAAATCTGTGGATTTTTAAAGTTTTTTATATATATTGGCTTAAATTGTTATTGTTCACTGTTCTCTGTCATCCTGAGGCCACCGGGCGGCGGTGAGCCCGGGTGCGAGGTCCCTATCATCGCTGCTTGCAGCTTTAATTATTATTATTAATTATGTGTATGTGTCTGTTTAAACACGACATGATTCATGATTAAATGATTCATGATTAAATTCGTGAATGGGAGTGAAGTGACGCAATTGACGCAGGTAGGTCACGTGACCATAACAAAATGGCGAATGTAGTACATCCGAATTCCATTCATACTTTTCACGTTCATACTGTATAGAGCGTACTTTTCTAACGGCCGAGTAGTACGTTTAAATTCAAATGCAGTACCTACTGAGTAGTAGGCGGTTTCGGACGCAGCCTAAGTGTTTTCATGCTTTCATTCCTAAACAAAGTGAAAGCACAGAACAGACTCACAGGGGCGACCCCTGGTGGTTCGGCGGTATGGGTTGCGTAAAGGGAGGCTTCACAGAAAGACTGAAATTACGGGAGAAATACGGGAAAATACCTTTAAGGGATGATAGCGGGATAGAACTGTAAAATACAGGTGAATCCTGGGAAAAATGGGAAGGTTGACAGGTATGAATAAGGCAAGTCACTGAACAACAGCGGTTTGTTCTGAAGACAATTGAAATAAACTTCTAATAATATTGAACTCATAATGAAAACTCTTTTATTCCAGCTAAAATAAAAATAAAAAAAATTATTAAAAATAAATAAATTAAGACTTTCTCCAGAAGAAAATAAATATATAAGAAATACTGTGAAAATGTCCTTGGTGTGTAAAACATCACTTGTGAAATATTTTTATAAGAATGCAAATTTTACAGGACTTAAACTGTATATTAATTGCAATGTCAGTAGTGCGATGCATTGATCAGTAAGTGATGGATGTGAAGCGGTACCTGGCTCTCTCGATGGCCTCAGTGCGATGAACGTTACTCAGCTGGCCCAGACAGAAGCGATCTCCACCAGACGGGTCCACATAACCATCCACCGTCACCACAGGACAGTTGGAGGGCACCTTAAAAGTCTCGCCCACTTGAATGTCCATCTCAAAGTATGCGATTGAGCACCAGTAATCTGGAGCTGCAGAAGACATATATCATGAGCATATTTACAACTTGATCAAGTTCAAGTTCTATTTATTTATATAGCACGTTTCCAACTGCCACAAGGCTGCACAAAGTGCTTTACAGAAAGAAAATAAACACATGATATGAACATAAAACAGTCAAAACAGCAATGGGCACATAATAGGAAGGAACATAGAAAGATTATCAATAAAAGAGCAAAAAATATATAATAAAATAATAATAATAATAATAATTTTTTTCCTAATTAAAAGATGCTATCACAGTTGACCAACACTAAACACGATGGAGAACATGACCATTTTGATCTCCCTCCCCACTAACAACAAAGCACCCCCCCCTGTGTCTTGTGCTTCAAAAGACCTACAAAATAAATGCGTCTTTAATTTAAACTTAAAAATAGGCAGCAGCGAAGCCTTTTTTTAGTTCTAATGGCAGAGAGTTTCAGAGGCGAGGACCTGCTATGGCAAAAGCACGTTCGCCCCTGCTTTTGAAGTGGGCCTTTGGAACTTTTAATAAAAACTGATCAGCGGAACGCAAGTGTCTTAGAGGAGTGTATTTAACAATCAGTTGGGATACATTTATGTGTGACACATAAATAACTTGTGACGCATGTACAGTTAAAGTCAGAATTATTAGCCCCCCTGTATATTATTTCCCCAATTTCTGTTTAACGGAGAGAAAACATTTTCAACAAATTTCTAATCATAATAGTTTTAGTGACTCATTTCTAATAACTGATTTATTTTATATTTATCATGATGACAGTAAATAATATTTCACTGGATATTTTTCAAGACACTTCTATACAGCTTAAGGTGATATTTAAAGTCTTAAGTTAATTAGGTTAAAGTTAGGGTAGTTAGGCAAGTTATTGTATAATGATGGTTTGTTCTGTAGACAATCTGTAGAGAATCGAAAACAAATATTGCTTAAAGGGGCTAATAATATTGTCCTTAAAATGGATTTAATAAAATTAAAAACTGCTTTTATTCTAGCCCAAATAAAACAAATAAGATTTTCTCCAGAAGACAAAATATTATCAGACATACTGTGAAAAATTATGTGCTCTGTTAAACATCATTTGGGAAATATTTGAAAAAAAAAAACAAAATTCATGGGAGGGAGGGCTAATAATTCTGACTTCAACTGTACATTTTTTGAACATTTTATACTGGTTCAAACAAGTTGAGGACAACATTAAATATGCATCTCAATAGCTGGGTTTCCATCACCCTGTTATAATGGGCATTTTTAAATATTGAAAGAAAAACAAGTAATGAAAATGCAAAATTTTTATTAAATTCATTCATTCATTTTCTTTTCGGCTTAGTCCCTTTATTAATCTGGGGTCGCCACAGTGGAATGAACCATCAACTTATCCAGCATATGCTTTACACAGCGGATGCCCTTCCATCTGCACCATAACACAACCTGAATTTTTTTTTTAAAGGGCCATGAAACCCCCTTGTTTCAGCAGGGTGTTTTCACACCTCTACTTTGGAAAAAGTCAGGAAAAGTGGGCGTGTCCAGCTCTGTTTAGGGGGAGTGTCGGAGGAGGGAAAAAGGCAAGGTCCATAAAACTTTGCATAAAAATGGGAGTGTCGGTTTGGGCACACGCTGATTTTCACAGAAGCAAAACAAACACACAGAAGAAAAGTCAGAAAGGCAGTGACTGTGGACATCAGTGATCAAATTATTTGCCAAATTATTAAAGGGTGGACTTTAACTGCAGTTTGGCTCTTTCATTCATGAATTTCATTCATGCCCCTCGTGACAAACGAGATATTAAAAGGAGATGAGCAGCAAATCCAGATTTCACCATTTCCAGATGAGAAAAGCTCTCGGGTAAACAATGTTCCTTAGACACATATTTCTGTCGCCCGTCACGTGCACTGTAATCCACACATGAGTCCAGCTGTGCTCTCAAAGAGGGAAAATGAAAACAAAACCTTCACTGCAGCAAATTATAAAAGCAACACTGACGACCCGTATCTCAAAACAATTCATGTTCTCCCGCTTGGCAACACAACGTGTCGTCTCACTGCCGTCTGAACACTGTAACTGGTAAAAACTGTCTTGGAAGCTATCATGCATATTAAGTAAGTTGCACCTCATACATAATAGAGCGCGCTGATTGGTTTGAACCAAGCCTTTCTCATGAATGAATGCAGCACACTTAGAGACGTAATAAGGCACTCCCAGGTACAGACGTCCAGTCTACACGCTGGAATACACGCTAAGATCTCATGGCCTTCAAAAATTAGTTTCAAACCGGAAGTACGAATTTGCTTGAAATAACTCTAAAACAACCAATTTACACTTTTTAGTGAAATATGTGTGTCCTAATAGTGTTTTTAGCAGTGTGGGACACATATACGACTGTCAACAGCTCAAAAAATGTGTTTTGGTGTTTCATGACCCTTTAAATATTTCCCAAATGATGTTTAACAGAGCAAGGAATTTTTTCACAGTATGTCTGATATTATTTTTTCTTCTGGAGAAAGTCTTATTTGTTTTGTTTTGGCTAGAATAAAAGCAGTTTTTTTTTTTTACATCCATTTTAGGGACAAAATTATTAGCCCCTTTAGGCTATTTTTTCTGATTGTCTACAGAACAAACCATCAATACACAGTAGCTTGCCTAATTACCCTAACCTGCCTAGTTAACCTAATTAGCCTAGTTAAGCCTTTAAATGTCACTTTTAACTGTATAAAAGTGTCTTAAAAATATCTTTAAAAAAATGTATTTACTGTCATCATGGCAATGATAAAATAAATCGGTTATTAGAGATGAGTTATTAAAACTATTATGTTTAGAAATGTGTTGAAAAAACAGAAATTGGGGAAAAAATTAAACGGGGAAGAATAATTCAGGAGGCCTGATAATTCTGACTTGTAGACTGTGGGCTCTACTTTGACGGTCCATGCACAAAGTGCAAAGCGCAGGGCGCAAACGCTTTCAGAATCCACTTTTGCTAGTATAAGGATGGAAAAATCTGCTTTTCGCCGTGGCGCATGGTCTAACAGGGTTGAGCTTATTTTCTTAATGAGTTATAGGTGTGTTTTCAGAATAAGCCAACCAGAGTCTCATCTCCCATTCCCTTTAAGAGTCAGTTGCGTAGCGCCATAAGGCATTTACTTTTTACATGAGGACTTTGTAAGTGGAAAAACTGAGCATTTCACTAGGAAGAAAACAGGTAAACAGAGCATCTACAGCACGAGAATGAGAGATAAGGCAACTCAATCTAGTTTCACTTTCGCTCTCGTGGATAGGGAAACATTGTACGCACAGATATCAATTAACCTATAAATGATTAATTTCGTTTGTTAAGCGCAAAGATTTGTTTCAAAACTATTTCTAAATTCAGTTCTAATTCCCAGCAAACAAATAAATGAACAATAATAACCAAGTGTGCTCAAAACCTGAGTTATATCCAAATACACATTCTGTGCCCCATATGGTATAAAACCTGACCTTGGGTAAATCTAAGCTTATTTAAAAAAAATATATATATATAAATATGCATTTAATAAGTAATTCAGCTAATAATAATAACATTATACAAAAGCAAATTGTCATGAATAAACTGAAAAAGCCCCTCGAGATGAAGGCATGAAAGTATGGTTTTTATATTTATGTAGGCTAGAAAATAATATGTTTTGTAATATTTTAATCATTTATATTTATATCCAATATATATATCCTTATTATATCCTATTAATATCCTTAATATTTTAATTCTTTTTCATATGTAAAGATATTTGCGTATTGCTCTACATCTTGTGTGTATTAAGCAGTGTGTAAGCGAGAAGCAACTCTGCGCTAGACAAAAGAATTTCGGCTTTGTTCTGGTCTATTGAACAGTCTATTATAGTTTCTCAAAATAGCAACGCACCAGCAGTGCGCCTCAGAACGCCTTCCTTTTTAGACCAGAACGCCTATGGGCGCACATATGAGCGCAAATGCATTTGCTATTTAAACAGCGTGGTGTAAAACGTCAAAGCAACTCTTGTGCCAAGCTAAAACTAGCAACAGTTGCGTCACGCCTTGCGCCACATTGCGCCGGGTGTATGATAGGGCCCTGTATGTGTGAGCATTTGGCCAATATTTTTCTTTTGAACTGATTAACTGTGTTTTAAATTCATGAATTGTATGAATGCAAATGTATTATTATTATTGAGACAGATCTGGCTCCATAGGGGACTGCCAAAGAAAGATGAATCCGGCTGCTTCCTGTTTCGAGTTATTTATTAAATAATATTTCATTTACCATCAATTGTGCAATTCCTCCTGGTCATATGGTTATCAGTTGTTTGTACATTTTTCATTTTTAGTGTGTTGACAAATTGATGAAGATGCTTCAGTTTATTAGAGATTTTCTATCAGCATGTGTTTCTCTCTGTCACTGTGAAAAATCTCTTGGACAGACTAATCCTTGTTCAACATACTAATATAATTGTGCACTGGGATGCAGTGTGTTGTATTCAATTAAATTCAATTCAACTGTTTATTGTCATGTGCACAGTAAGGAAACACGTCTCCCTGTACAATGAGATTCTTACTTTGCCGTCCACAGTGAAGTCATACACACAACATACACATCATACACAACATACACATAAATACACATATATACACAGAAGTGACCGAAGATTGAATGTAAAATATAAGTATATAAATATCTATGAAAGTAAACAATATGTAAACCTGATTTGAGTAATGAAACAGATGTAAACAGTGTACAGTGTTTTTATTTTATTTTTTATTTTATTTTTTTTTATTGTGCTTATTATGCAAAAAGTGCCTAGTGCAATTGGATTATGTGCAAAAAAAGAATAAAGAATAAAATAGTGCAAAATGGGATGGAGTATGTAGTGTTGTACTGAGCAGAAAAGAGACTGTTATGTGCGTTGGTTATCTGTTTAGAAGTCTGATGGCTGATGGGAAGAAAGAAATCTTGAAGAATTCCTCACCTGGATGTGTGGATATCGGTGGCTGGAAGGCCAGCTCATTATGGACTGACCCTGAGACACAGAGAAAAGTAGTGTTTAACTGATGCTACAACAGATTCCAGTTATGATGATAGATGGCTAGCGGTGGCAAAAGAGACTCACAGTACTGTCCTGTGTGAGGAAGAGGAGGGTGGTGCTGAAGATGACCGTTCTGATGAGGAATGCTGGGAGGAAAGCTGCTTCCTCTGGGCCACGAGCTGGGAGCATCTAGAAGAGGAAAACACAAATCAAACAGGTTATCTTTGTAAACCGGACGGAAGTCAAAAAACCTAGCCTGTTTTTCCCATGATACGTTCAAATCTCTTTAGCGTAAACAGAAATTCTATAGGAAGTCTTAATTTGTTTATTAAAATAGTTTTTTATAGCGTTCCATGAGTTTATTGTCGTAAAAATAACACCGTACATATAAGAAAGAATGTTTTAGACCCCCTACCTGTTATTTAACATGAAAAGAAAATCAGACCCTCTTTGTCACTTATGCAACAACTCTACACAAGGTACTTATATTCATATGTTCTGGGAATGTCCCTAAAGTCCACTATTCTGGACCAAGATACAAGACTTTTTCAAGAGTTTACACTTAGGGTGCTTTCACACCTGCCTTATTTAGTTCGATTGAATCACACTAGAGTTCGTTTCCCCTTTTGGTGTGGTTCGTTTGGGCAGGTGAGAATGCAGCAATCGTACTCGAGTGCGCACTAAAAGCGGACCAAATAAGCGTACCGAGACCTGCTTGAAGAGGTGGTCTCGATACGCTTTCAAACGAACCCTGGAGCAGTTCGTTTGTGGTGAGAATATGATCCGTACTAAAACAGGTCCAACCGCAAAAAGTACTGCGCATTTTGGACTAATCCAGCTGCCGTAGGCCAATGCGCTGTGCATTATGGGATATGGAGGAAAAATATTTGTTGACAGCGCTTTACCAACAGAGAGAGAGAGAGAGGAAAACATTACCTGATGGATCGTTGGTAATATTTCCGCAAGAGGACCATGGCGCAGTTTAGCTAAACTAATTCACGCCTCCTCCTGAAGAGACGAGTGATGCATTAAACACTGTTTTCCAGCCGCGGCCGCGCTTCATTTTTTGTAATGTATAGTTTGTCTAAAGCAGCGACACAATCGACCAGTGCAGTCGTCCCTCCAGAGTAAAAACGACATTTTGTGTCTGCCAGTTTTGTTTACCTGCAGGAGTTCATTGGCATTTTCCTGCACGTGAATTCTGACCAATCAATAAGCAGTTTCAACTGGTTCGGACCAAAGCCAGCAGTGTGGTTTGAAAGCGACCCAAAGACTGCAGAAAATGCAACAATGTATCATTTATTACCCTTGGTCCGGACCGAATGAAGCGAACTACAGATGTGAAAGCACCCTTAGATACTGTTTGACAACTTGTTTGCAAGTTAGCAGGTTTGGCATGCTGTCCCGGGAGAGAACCCTTAGCTCGGAGATAGTTGAGCCCAGGGCTCCCGCCAGGTCCATAGAGCATGTGAGGGGAGTACGAGGTCAGGTGTTCTCGAGAGCTCCCCTCGGCAAAAGAGGAAAGGAGGAGAAGGGGTGGATGGGGGGTTTCTTCGGGAAACGAAGATAAGGGAGTAGTTCTTAGCTAGGTTACTTATAGTGAGTTTGGATCAATCTGATTGGCTGGCTAAAGAGTGTAGATGAGTGGCCAGCTGCAGTCAATCACATCACGTGCTCCTCTCGAAATTAGTTTGTGAAGCTTCATTTATCAGAACTAATGGAAACTCAGGCCCTGTTTACACTAGTGCGTTTTAGAATGAAAACGATCCGCGTCCAGCGTTTCTGAACAGCTCTCCGTCCACACCAAAACACTGAAAACGCACATCACGTGACCACACACACACTCTCTGGCATGCGCCGCAGCCCATCTACCCAGATGAAAGTGTTCATCAAGGATCTCCCGCTGGATCTAATCTCACTATATTTGCTAAACGTGATATTTAATTCATCTTGTTGTCTATTTCTAACAACATATTCCCCGACTTTGGCCTCTTGAATCTATTACTTGCTCTCGGGTAACGTGTTTTGGCTGAGCGCAAAGCTAAATTAATAATTAATCTAACCACGTACATTCTGTATATTGACTGATCGCTTGCCTTTATTTACGATAATGTATAAACTTATTATACATTATACTTTTATAATGGTCATTATTGATTATTAAAACTGATATTCAGCAAAAGAAACGGCATGTTTCTTAATTTCAATGAAAATGAAAGGAGGCAGTAATGTTAGGCTTCGTTTTATTATGAATACGCACACAGTGAAGATGACACTCATATATTAAGCACAACACCTCAACATTTCTGCTGTCTGTTAAGTTGTTAAAATCAAAATAAAAATAGCAGTTCCTTCATGTTTTTATTTTATTGTTAAAAAAGTGAAACAATGTAGCCAGAGTGATGTGAATGAGGTTATACAGTACACTGTTCCCTTTGAAGATTTACCCGATGTGTCCTCGGGAGTCTGTTTTCCATGTCAAACTTGCAAAGTCTGAACTTACACGGAGAGGATGCAGGACTGAACTGTGTGTAGGCTACTTAATATTGCGGAAAAGCCCCAATCAGAGAGGCGAATGTCTGCAGCCCCGCCTCCGTTGTCAGATGTCTCCGTTTTCCCCCATCCACACTGAGACGAAGCAGCAGCATTTTAGGATGATAACGGCCTCTCCAGCATTTCCAAAACGCTCTGTTTTCGGCGCTCGAAAACTCCAGCGTAGTGTGAATGGATGGTGTAACCGTAGCAAAACTTATGCGTTTTCAAACTTAAACTTATTAGTGTAAACGGGGCCTCAGATCTAATGCGACTCATTGCTTTTCCTAATGCTGGACGATTCATCACTCTCCTTATCCATCAACCAAAAAAGGACTCAAAAAAAAAAAAAACAATCCTGAAACTATGGCTGGACCCATCTGCTCCAACTGATCTATCCTGGAGGCTCTATCTACTGGACATTATCAGCCTGGAATACACCACAGCCAAAATAAATGGAGCCATTAAAAAAAACTGTACAATATAGGTCAAATATGAGAGAGACTGTATCATTTATGTTTCAATCCTGATTTTGTACTTATTATTACAATATTACTGCTTTTATTTTTATTTTACATATTTTGTTGGGTGGATCTCGGGCTTTGTTCAAAATCAAAATGTTCAATAAAAAAAAAAAGAAAGTAAATATTAGCATTGGAGTAAAAATTGATTCATTCATTTATTTTCTTTCCGGCTTAGTCCCTTTATTAATCCGAGGTCACCACAGCGAAATGAACCGCCAACTTATCCAGCATGTTTTTAAGCAACAGATGCCCTTCCAGCTGCAACCCATCTCTGGGAAAATAATAATAATTCCTTACATTTATACAGCGCTTTTCTTGGCACTCAAAGCGCTTTACACATAGGTGGAAATCTCCTTATCCACCATCAGTTAAATAGCTTAATAATGAACATTACAGTCAAAGTAATTTTTTAAAAGTTAATAAAAGGGTAACATTTCTAAAATTAATGATTTTAAAGAAAATGGTCCCAAAATAATTTCTTAATTATTAAGTTTTAGTTATTGAGGTGCACTGTCATTGTACAAGAGTGCGTAGCAGGAATATTTCTCCTTATAGATTTAAGATTTCTTTTTTGTGTACTAGCTCTGTTGCTTGGAATGTTTTGCCTACGATTTTTACAGAGATTCAATTTGAGAGTGTTTTAAGGGAAATTCAAAAGTTCACACTTAGCTGATGATTGATTATAAAGCTTGTTTGGCATGCTGTCTTGGGAGAGAGCCCTGAGCTCATAAGATCCTCGAGCCCAGGGCTCCCTCCCATTTGCAAGGCGAGAGGGGAGTTTGAGCTCAGGTAGATCTCGAGAACTCTCCTGCTGTAGTAGCCAATGAACAGATAGTGATTGCTAAGAGATAACGACTTTCTAGGAGCATGTCTATGGTGCTGATTTGGATTAGTCATTAACTTGAGCTGCATGTTTTTAAACAGAGGAAGGAAACTGGGGAACCCGGAGGAAACCCACGTGAACACGGGGAGAATGTGTAAACTCTGCACAAAAACGTCCGCTGGCTTGGTAAAGACTAGAACCAGGGACATTCTTGCTGTGAGGCAACAGTGCTAACCACTGGGCCACCGCGCCACCCATCTTGGAAATGAGGAGTAAGGGTGGAAGGGGGGATTCTTCAAAACGAAGATGGCTGTGATATGGAACTTAGGTAATTTATAGTGGCAAAGGAATGGTCTGATTGGTAAATCATAGATTGAATAATGCGGGACCAGCCGCAAGCAATCATAAGCACACGATCCTCTTGAAGTAAGTTTATAAATAAACTTCACTGAAAAAGTGGTTGTTGTACAGTTGAAGTTGAGGATTTTGTTGTGAGCTGATGATGTTTGCACTCCATTTATGATTTGCTTGTTCATTTTTTAATAATGTCGAAGACCATAATGCAAATAAGTCTGTGGCTTTTTTGTGTATTTTTTCCTCGACAGTTTTTAAAATATGTATGAACTAGTCTAACTGGACTTGTTTGTATGTTTTTGTTAAAACTGTCAAAAAAAATCAATCAATCAAGCAAGCATACTCATGGAAATAAACAATACACTACCTGACAAAAGTCTTGTCGCCTATTCATGTTTTGGGAACAACAAATAATAAGTTGACTTCTAGTTGATCATTTGGCGTCAGAAGTGTCTTATATGAAAGGCAAAGGCCTCTACATTACACTTATTTTACCACAATAAAATATGATCATGCCTTGATTTCATCTATTTCATTAGGACAGTAAGGTCTGACTTTGCTTGGGCAAAAGTCTTGTCATGTAACAGAAATAATGTCCAGTATAGAATATAAAGTCCTGCTGCAGTGGAAACAGAATGAATATTGTGTCTGACTCCATCATGAGCTTGGAGGACTGCATCCATACATCTCTGCAATGACTCAAATCACTGATTAATAAAGTCATCTGGAATGGCAAAGAAAGCGTTCTTGCAGGACTCCCAGAGCTCATCAAGAGTCTTTGGATTCATCATCAATGCCTCCATCTTCATCTTACCCCAAACATGCTCAATAATGTTCATATCTGGTGACTGGGCTGGCCAATCCTGAAACACCTTGACCTTCTTTGCTTTTGACCTTATACAAGTCATAATTTATATTCAAATATATTTTTCAAATATGAACTTTGATTTTGGATGTGACTAATCGCTTGACATACACTGTGTACATACAACCAGGCAGTGCATTCTGTCCACTCTTTTTTTTTTTGTCAAAAGAATGAAATAATGACTTACTGTTTGGACCGGCAGCCATAGCGCTGAAAGCCGAGGTGGAGGTGGAGCTTGTGTGGTCAGCTGGCGGCAGGAGGACGGGGCTGTTGAAAGTGTCAGGCGGGGCAGAGGGCGTGGCCGTGTGCTGGATGGTTTGAATACTGTGACCTCCATCAGCTGCGGAATGAGACGACTGACCCTCAAACTCCTCCTTCACCATCAGCTCTCCACTTGGACCTGCACATACACACGCAAAAAAAAACAACACATTCACTCATCTGTGATGGGCAACACACTTATTTGAACATACTTCTTGTTCGGCTGGAATACTGGGTTGGGCTGTCTGGGACAGTCGTCAAATGGTTCAGATCTTACCTTGAAGGTAGAGGTTACTATGTCAGTATTGGTAACCATAGGTCGAGGTGGACACCCATGACATGTGGAGTCCCACAAGGCTCAATTCTGGCACCTCTCCTGTTCAACCTTTATAAGTCCCTCTGAGCCAAATAATGAGAAGCAACCACATTTTCTACCACAGCTATGCTGATGACACTCGGATCTACTAAGTCTTACTGCCTAATGACTACCGCTCCATTGACACCCACTGCCAATGTATTGATGAAATGAACAGTTGGATGTGCCAAAAGTTTCTTCAGTTAAACAAAGAGAAAACTGAAGTCATTGCATTTGGGAACAGAGATGAGGTTCTCAAGGGTAATGGGTACCTTGGCTCTAAGGGTCAAACAAATAAGGTCAAGAATCTTGGTGTGACTCTGGAGTCAGATCTGAGTTTCAATAGTCATGTCAGTAAATCAGCGTATTATCATCTCAAAAACATTGCAGGAATTAGATGTTTGTTTCCAGTGGGGATTTAGAGAAACTTGTTCATGCTTTTATCAGCAGCAGGGTGGATTACTGTAATGGATTCCTCATTGAACTTCCAAAAAAGACTGTCAGACAGTTGCAGCTCATCCAGAACGCTGCGGCCAGGATTTTGACCAGAACCAGAAAATCAGAGCACATCACACCGGTCCTCAGGTCTTTACACTGGCTCCCAGTTACATTCAGAATAGATTTTAAAGTATTATTACTGGTCTATAAATCACTAAATGGCCAAAGACCTCAATACATTACAGAATATTACTGAATACAAACTGATCACTGATCTTTAGGATTCTATAAACTAGAAATTCCAAGAGTTCATTCAAAGCAGGGTGAAACGGCAGCTCATAAACTTAATTTAAACTTAACTTAAACTTTCTAAAACTTAATTTGAGCCTGAGAGGGTTAAAAATTATGACATTTCTTCCTAGATTAAAATTAAATTAAATTACAGTCTGTCAAAATACATCATTAAACAACACAATAATGTTTTAAGAAAAAAATTAAGAAATCAATATATGGCAGAACAGCCCTAATTTTCCATCACAATAAATTAAAACATTTTTAAACCAATTGTAAATAAAAAAAACATTATATTTAAAAGAAATGTTCTCACACCTTGTATTTCTATAGAATAAAACAAACATTCATTCATTCATTCATTTTCTTGTCGGCTTAGTCCCTTTATTAATCCTGGGTCGCCACAGCGTAATGAACCACCAACTTATCCAACAAGTTTTTACGCAGCGGATGCCCTTCCAGCTGCAACCCATCTCTGGGAAACATCCACACACACACACGTTTGTTTTTGTGAAAAGTGGGGACATTACATAGGTTTCCATTCATTTTATACTGTTCAAACCGTATATTATATTGCCCTCACCCCACCCCACCCCTGAACCAAACCATCACAGGAGACTGTGTGCAGCTTTACTCTCTGATTAAACTCATCCTGTAGGATTTATAAGCATTTTGAGAAATGAGGACGTCACCAATGTCCTTATATTTCACCTCCTTTTTGTAATACCTGTGTCATACCTATGTCATTATACAGATTTGTGTCCTTATATGTCACAAAAACACGTATACACACACACACACACACACACACACACACACACACACACACACACACACACACACACAACGGACAATTCAGCCAACCCAATTCACCTGTACCGCATGTCTTTGGACTGCGGGGGAAACCGGAGCACCCGGAGGAAACTCACGCGAACGCAGAGAGAACATGCAAACACCACACAGAAACGCCAACTGAGCCGAGGCTCGAACCAATGTAAAACAATTATTAGCACACCTAATAAAGCTAAGGAAAATGAACACTAAAATCCCCCTCACCTGGGCCGCCCAGCGTCAGAACAGACAGATCTAACAAAAGACAAAAGGAGAAAATCATGTAAATAAATATTATACAAACAAAACTCAAATACACCGTCAACCTGACTTCCTCAAGTAGGACATGTTCCTGGATTAACATCTATTTTGATCCTGGAACAACATTACAATCAGCCAATCAGAATTTAGGGATATGTTAACAGTTAATGTTAAGTTTAGGTTTACGGTTATGTTTATGCACTTTTACTTCTTGGTCACAGGTGTCAAACTCAGTTGCAAAAGGGCCGCAGCTCTGCACAGTTTAGTTCCAACCCTAATTAAACACACCTGATCAAACTAATTGAGTCCTTCAGGCTTGTTTGAAACCAACAGGTAAGTGTGTTGGAGCAGTGTTGGAACTAAACTGTGCAGGGCTTCGGCCCTCCAGGAATTGAGTTTGACACCCCTGTTCTATGGTGAAAAGAAGGTCCCGCCTACAAGTAAAGGAGCCAATCATCAATTGCTATAGACTGACGAGACTTCAGGGGAGGGGCTCGGACAAGACATAAGTTTCTGCAGATTTTGTGTGATTTAAATGTTTGGAAATTAAACTAAAGACACAGTTGTGGTTTCATTTTATTGGTGATTCCTAATATGAAATTCAGTCGTAAGCTTGGCAAGCAGTTTTGGAGAATTTAATGTTTTCCCATTCAAACACACTGCCCCAGAGGCGTTTTAAAAATGGCCGCCGAATGAAATGACTTGCCTTAAAGGGACTTTGGTACAACTCCCCTCTGAGTTTGGGAGTAATTTACAGCTATGTAAATTATTAAAAACTTATGATCCAGGATCAACATAGATGTTAAATCCAGGATTGCATCGTACGTGGAAAAATCAAAACATGCTAAAATATACAACATAAACACAGGTCCTTGCACATATTTTTAGCATAATAAAATTTTTAATCACAATAAGGTACCAAAAAACAATTTACCGATGCTTGGAGAAACGACCCTCTCGTAATGGTACGGGTTCACACAAACATTGTCACACTTCAGGTCAAAGGCAAACTGGCAGTATTTGACATGTTTCAGCTCGTTCTTGTGCAGGTCCGGCCAACGCCACAGACGTGCGTAGATGACATGAGGAAATCCTTTACGACCTGCCACCTGACAAACAAATCAAATGCATTTACAGGAGAACTGATAAAAGATTATACTGCCATTTAAATGTTTGAGATATATATATATATATATATATATAAATATATATATATATATATATATATATATATATATATATATATATATATATATACAGTTGAAGTCAGAATTATTTGCCCCCCTGAATTATTAGACCGCTTGTTTATTTTTCCCCAATTTCTGTTTTGAGCAGAGCAGATTTCTTCACCACATTTCTAAACATAACAGTTTATTAACTTGTTTCTAATAACTAATTTATTTTACCTTTGCCATGATGACAGTAATATTAGTAATATTAGTAAATAATATTTTACTAGATATTTTTTCAATATAATTTGGCAAGTTATTGTATAACAATGTTTTTTTCTGTAGATTAGAGAGAAAAAAATAGCCTAAAGGGGCTAATAATTTTGTCCCTAAAATGGTGTTTAAAAAACTAATAACTGCTCTTATTCTAGCCAAAATAAATCAAATAAGACTTTTTCTAGAAGAAATATATTATTATTAATATTATCAGACATACTGTGTAAATGTTCTTGCTCTGTTAAACATCATTTGGAAAATATTTTAAAAAGAAGAAAAACATTCGAAGGGGGCTAATAATTCTGACTTCAACTGTATATATACTCACACAGTTGAAGTCAGAATTATTCGCCCCCTGTTTATTTTCCCCATTTTCTGTTTAACAGAGAACAGATTTCTTCAACACATTTCTAAACATAACCACTTTAATAACTAATTTATTTTATCTTCACCATGATGACAGTAAATAATATTTGACTAAAAAAATTTAAAGACACTTCTATACAGCTCAAAATGACATTTAGAAGCTTAAAGGTGCAGTAGGTGATTGTGTTCAGAAGCATTTTTTGTTGTGCTGCCTGAAAGTCTCTTCACAGTCTAATAATAATGATGATTACAGTAAATGATCTAAGTGTGTTTATATGTATTTTTATATTCCGGAAAAGGCATAAAACTAAAAAATTAAATATTGTTGACATCTCTCATAATTGCGATAAGTGGCTCAATCTGTCTGTCAAATGCAGATTTGGGCTTGCCCGTCGTGCATGCACGCCTAGCTGGGCCCGCGCATGCACAGTTACAGTCGTGGCAAAATCAAATGCTGAATTGAAACTTTTTAAACTCCTGAATCGCTCCTGAGTTATTTTTGCACGCTGGAGGAAGGACGACACCATGGCCAAAGTATTTCTGTTAGACAGGTAATGTTCTGTTTTAAAACTATTTAGCTTCATGCAGAGCTGATGCAGATTTGGTTGTGAATAGGTTTTATGCACAGACCTGTTGCTCAGCCACTGAAATCTCCCGCAGATAGATTAATTTGACTATTTTCGGTTTGATAAGGGCCTTTTACAGCATTGATAATGTAGATTTATATTTAGTTTAACAACAAAACATCAGTAAATAGCGCTATTCTGCCTAGTCATTTGGTCATTTGGTCATTTCTGAACAATGACAGCCTGTGACGCGCTTCCTATACTGTTTACCATGGTAGGTAATATTCGCTCTGAAATATTAGTAAGTGTGGCTTTGTAATAAATGAAATTCCTGCACACCACCGGGCCAACCACTATGTACACGTCTAACTGGGGAATGACATGAACTAGTGGGTTGTCTGCTGTCGTGTCGCGGTGGGGGCGTTCGCAATTTCCGGAGGCGTAGCTTTGAAATGCAGTCCCTCCCCTGCCGTCCAAAGCTAATATGCTAATCGATTAGCATTTTGGCAGATCACCTACTGCACCTTTAACTAGGTTAATTAGGTTATCTAGGCAGGTTAGGGGAATTAGGCAAGTTATTGTATAACGATGGTTTATTCAGTAGACTACTAAAAACAAATTGCCTAAAAGGGGCTAATAATATTGTCCTTAAAATGGTTTTAAAAAATTAAAAACTGCTTTAATTCTAGCCGAAATAAAACAAATAATAATAATAATAATAATAATAATAATTCCTTACATTTATATAGCGCTTTTCTGGGCACTCAAAGCGCTTTACACACAATGGGGGAATCTCCTCATCCACCACCAGTGTGCAGCATCCACCTGGATGACGCGACGGCAGCCATTTTGCACCAGACCGCACATGACACACCAGCTGATTGGTGGAGAGGAGACAGAGTGATGAAGCCAATCGGAATATGGGGATGGTTAGGAGGCCATGATGGACAGAGGCCAGTGGGCAGATTTGGCCAGGATGCCGGGGTTAAACCCCTACTCTTTTCGAAGTACATCCTGGGATTTTTAACGACCACAGAGAGTCGGGACCTCGGTTTAACGTCTCATCCGAAAGACGGCGCTCACTGAGCAGTATGGCGTCCCTGTCACTATACTGGGGCATTAGGACCCACACAGACCGCAGGTTGGGCGCCCCCTGCTGGCCTCACTAACACCACTTCCGGCAGCAACCTAGCTTTCCCATGTGGTCTCCTATCCAGGTACTGACCGGGCGCAGCCCTTCTTAGCTTCAGTGGGTGACCATGTGAGAGTTGCAGAGAGCTAGCTGCCGGCTAAGACTTTCTCCAGAAGAAAAAATATTATCAGACATACTGTGAAAATTTCCTTGCTCTGTTAAACATCATTTGGGAAATATTTAAATAAGAGAAAAAAATTCAAAGGGGGGCTAATAATTCTGACTTTGTATGTTGTAAACTTTAAACTCGCAGCGTTTTGGTCACATCCACAATGCATGGTTATTTTTATTAACAAAAAAATACCAACAAAAAAAAACTTCAAAAACTAACTTAATTTTCTACAAAGCTATAAACGATTAACATTACACAGTAAAATGGTCAGTTAATAGACAGACAGACCTGCAGTCTACCGTCCAGCGTGCGCTGTATAGTCACGCATTTACTGGGATGAGCTCCGTTTGTGGTGATGGCAGTGATCAAAGAGTCCAGCTCATCTTTCTTCTCTTTCAGCTTCTTCACCAAGCTCTCTATGGCTCGTTTGGAGAAGGACTCGCTCTCTCCACCCTGCCGATGGCACATGAGGCTGTGGACGATGCTCAGGCAGGCATCATTACTGGTGGGTGTGCTGGAGACGGACATGCTGCTGGATTTACACTCAACCACAGGCGAGAAATAAACAAATCCAAGACCTTCGATCCTCCCGAGCTTCAGTCTTCACACCCTGATGTCGAGACGCGCACCACACTGGCCTGATTAAAAACAAACAAAGAAAAGACGCACAGATTGTAAACAGGACTTAATGAACATTATTATTTCACTTTGCATCGTGTCGTTTTGATGAACCATCAACAGCTATTGGCTTTATTTAGCTGTTATATTTCAATTTTGTTGATGATAAATTTTCTCAATTTATTCCAGAAGAGTATTGCACAACAGTGGAATCAAGAAAGCCAGGATAACAGCATGGCTTGACCTAGAGGAGGAGGCTATGTGAGTGATACTTTTGGGCCGCACTCGCCAGCTGCACTTCGTTAAACACTATACTATGATATGCAGTGATTTTCTTTGAAGATGGTTGTGAAAAATAGTATGTAATAGTAGTAATAGTACACTTTAGTATGGTACAAAACCTTTTTACTATATATTACTATTGTATTTTAGTTGAATTACTGGTGTGTGTGACCGGTGCAGTGCTTTGAAACAGTAGTAATGTATGTAATTGACGCCTAATCTCTTGCTATACACTTTATTAACCCGTGAGGGTGTTTAAACCTTTGAATCAAAATGCGAAGCAGTCACGAAAATGGCGAAAATGAAGCTTCGGACGTCACTGATCACGTGATGATGGCAAAACGAATCAAGCTCCGGTACACTGCTTCACTACGAGATGCAATATTTTTTTGATACATGCTTCGAAGCCTCTGTGCAAATAGTCATTCATTCATTCTCTTGTCGGCTTAGTCCCTTTATTAATCCGGGGTTGCCACAGCGGAATGAACCACCAACTTATCCAGCAAGTTTTTACGCAGCGGATGCCCTTCCAGCTGCAACCCATCTCTGGGAAACATCCACACACACATTCACACACACACTCGTACACTACGGACAATTTAGCCTACCCAATTCACCTGTACCGCATGTCTTTGGACTGTGGGGGAAACCGGAGCACCCAGAGGAAACCCACGCGAAGGCAGGGAGAACATGCAAACTCCACACAGAAACACCAACTGAGCCAAGGTTCGACCCAGCGACCTTCTTGCTGTGAGGCGACAGCAATACCTACTGCGCCACTGCCTCGCCCCGGTGCAAATAGTCACATCACTAAAGCTTTCTGAAGCAGTGAAGCGCTCGACTCAATTGTATCCGAAAAAAGGTTCGTTACTTCAGGGGCTCCCAAACTTTTTATCCCGTGACCTCCAAAATGATAATGCCAGTGACTCGCGACCCTCAATATCCTCTGAGGTGGTTATAAATACAGAGACCTTGCATGCAATGGTGCACACACACCAATAGACCCAAGTCTATTTTATAGTAACTATAAGCTACTATAGTAACTATGTAGTATCGATAAATGACTATTTTTTCTCTTCAGTAGGTTATGCATAAAATATGGTAATTGTTATGGTTTAATAAAAATAAATAATATTTGGAAATCACCAGGCGAACCCCCCTTCATTGTCCCACGACCCCCACTTTGAGAACCACTGCGTTACTCAAAGCTTTCTAAATCAGAGCTCGATAAGGACCTCTTCTGGTGAAAGTGTGGGAAATGTCGAATGTTCACAACTGACCAATTTATTCATGTATTAATACAACAACAGTAATATAAACAAATTACTCAATTACTGTAGTTTTGACACATAAGGTATGTTACAGTCACAACCTATGACTGTAGTAAAATCCAAGATATTCAAATGTATTTAAAATTATAATTTTCCAACTAGTCCCGTTCCAAACGGGGATCGAACCAGTGATTCCTGTATGGGAGGCGAATGCACTAGGAGGAGGCTATGTGAGTGATGCTATTGGGCTGCTCTCGCCAGCTGGTCTCCGTTAAATACTATAATATGATATGCAGAGGTTTTCTTTATAGATGGTTGTAAAAAATATGCTAATACACGTTAGTATGGTTCAAAACCTTTTTACTATAGATTACTATTGTATTTTAGTTTAATTACTGGTGTGTGGGACCGATGCAGTGCTTTGAAACAGTAGAAATGTATGTAATCGAAGCCTAATCTCTTGCTTTACACTTTACTAACCCATGAGGGTGTTTAAACCTTTGAATCAAAACGCGAAGCAGTCACGTGGGTATAGGCGAAAATGAAGCTTCGGACGTCACTGATCACGTGATGATGGCAAAGCGAATCAAGCTCCGGTACACTGCTTCACTGCGAGATGTATCGTTTTTTTGATACATGCTTCGGATGTACATTATAGGATGTTTCATCATCATCATGTAAAAAAATCTAATTATATCTATATATATATATATATCTATATATATATATATATATATATATATATATATATATACATACATACATACACACACATACACACACACACATATATATATATACATCGGTTGTGTTATATATATATATATATATATATATATATATATATATATATATATATAAAATTATCGACATTTTCTATTTTTTGTCATTTTTTTCTGCAAAATCTCATTTTGTAAATGTATTATCTTTTTATACCTAATGATGTTAAGTGAACAAAGTCTTATTTTAATGAATAAAAACTTTTGTTTAAATGCACAAAAAATTATTGTCTATATTCACTAAGAAATGAACTCAGTCAAGGCTAAATTCAGCCAGGATAGCCTCAAAATCCCAGCTTAATCCCTGATCTTACTTTTGTGCAATACCACTTTAGAGACCATTCAATTGAATTTTAGGACTATGCATCTTTATATTTCAGACATGTGTGTAATTATTTTGTGAGTGAGTGGGTGGATGGATGGATGGATGGATGGATGGATGGATGGATGGATGGATGGATGGATAGATAGACAGAGAGAGACAGACAGACAGACAGACAGACAGACAGACAGACAGACAGACAGACAGACAGATAGATAGATAGATAGATAGATAGATAGATAGATAGATAGATAGATAGATAGATAGATAGATAGATAGATAGATAGATAGATAGATAGATGCTACAAATAGACTTATTGACATTACTATAAAAACTTATTTTCAATTCTTCTTTTCAACTGAATTGAATTTATTTATGTTTTAACGGCATATCAACAGCTATAATTATTGGCAACTGTTATCATTCATGGCAACATTGGTAAATAATTATTTAATACATCATTTACAATCATAACAGTTTATTCATAAACAAGCAAAAGCATACAGATATCAACAATACTGATAAAAAAATAATGTAAGATCTTTCAATTTGGTCGATGATAAGCATTTTTAAATTATTCCAAAAGACTGTGTGTCTTTATATTTTAGACATTTCTAATAATTTTATGGCTACATGTGAAGAGTTCAGATGCAAAAACCTCTAAAGGCCATCTGAATTGTTCTTCTAAAATGAGCATTTTATCCGACTCCTGTGTATAGGTTCAGTAATATCAGTTTTATGGCATAGAATAAGCCCTTTTTTGTGGTCTTTAAAGTAAAACAACTCAACATAAACAAAGAAGGCTGATTCAGTTTTGATGGAAATTTCAGCCGGCACTTAGAGGTTTTTGCATCTGAACTCTTCATATGTGTAATTATTTTGTAGACAGACAGACAGATGGATGGATAAATGGATAGACAAATGGATGGACAGACAGACAGACAGATATGTAGATAGATAGATAGATAGATAGATAGATAGATAGATAGATAGATAGATAGATAGATAGATAGATAGATAGATAGATAGATAGATAGATAGATAGATAGATAGATAGATAGTCAAATGGATAGACAAACGGATAGACAGACAGACGGACAGAAGGATAGATAGACAAATGGATGGACAGACAGACAGACAGACAGACGGATGGATAGACAACTGAAATAACATGCCATATATCATAGTAATGACGCTACAAATCGATTTATTTACATCAAGTTAACTTTACTATAAAAACTGAACAAAATGTTATGTTTTTTATTCATATTTACGCTGAATTATTGGGGAATCGGTTGAATTTACATTTCAGCTTTTTTTCTGACAAAACAGTCACTGCTTTCCCAACAACATCCCAGTAACTTCAGGTCTGTTAATAAATTATACCAAAACATTAAAATAGCCAAAAGCAGAGCATTACCCTGTATTATTATAACAAGTAAATACGTGAACGTGAGTGATATTAAATCAGATCACTCTGTGACAATACAACTGATCTCACTATGATGCTAGCAAGCTAACTGGCTAACAGATACTCCTTAAACATGTGCGAAATGCACGAGTAAAAGCGTCTGAATTAGAACCATAGTAAAGCATTACGAAAAAATAATGATAATGTGAGAAAATATCAACAGAAACACTTACGATTCATGGCGCAAAGGCACGGACGCTGTCTCTACGTAAGCGCAGTGATGTCATCGCTCGGGTGACGCAGCCGTGCACGTAAACACGGCCCTCCCTCACAGATGATTTTTCGTCAATTTTGACTGAAAACTGCTGAGTTACCGCTGAATAAAAGTTTAAAGGGTCATTGGGTTAAACAGTTTTAAACGACGACAATAATATCTAATCTTACTACATTCCTTTTGACTACACTAAACACGTTCAAAGTACTATACAGTCAGTCAGTCGGTGTAGCAAACATGAGATCGAGTATAAACGCTACATTTACAGGGGAAAATGCAACGCAGATAGCTTTTTTCCACTTTATTTATCGTTTATAAAGGAACTAAACTGAACATTTCGAAACAACTATAAAAGCTTTGCTCACTTGGACTATATCGTTTAATCTTGCCCTACAATGTAGTAAACAGCTATTCATACTCCTAAAGAACAGTCCCCTGCTAAAAAATCCAGCTTAAACCAGCCTAGGCTGGTTGGCTGGTTTTAGCTGGTTGACCAGCCTGGTTTTAGAGGGGTGTTGGCCATTTCCAGGCTGGTTTTCAGCCATTTACAGCCTGGTCTTAGCTGGTCAGGCTGAAAAATGACCAGCTTAATCCAGCTAAAACCAGCTTGACCAGCCTGGTTTAAGCTGGACATAGCTGGTTTTGGCTGGGCTCTCAGCCTGGCTAGGCTGGTCAAGCTGATTTTAGCTGGTCATCTCCCAGCCTGACCAGCTAAGACCAGGCTGGAAATGGCTGGAAACCAGCCTGGAAGTGGCCAAAACCCCTCTAAAACCAGCCTGGTCGACCAGCTAAAACCAGCCAACCAGCCTAGGCTGGTTTAGGCTGGATTTTTCGGCAGGGTCTTGCTGTCATTTCTCCATCCTCTGCAACACTAAATGCATCTGTTTGAGTGACTCAAGGGAATATGATAGCTACTGCGTGAATTCAGAGCAAAAGCTGTTTCACAGACTGCCAAGTGCTATAAATATTAATAAAACAGTAATTGCTTATGCAATTTTCTCTGGGGAAGCTAATGACAGAAATTAACCTACTTTAAAGTGTGTAAAATATGGCAAAGTCAGAAATGTACACTACCTGATAAAAGTCTTGTCAGCGATTCCAGTTGTAAGACCAATAGGTAGATTTATCAGTTGAACTGCATCCCAATCATCACAAATACTGCAGAAGACCTACTGGAACCCACATGAACCCAAGATTCTCACAGATATCAATCAAGTTTGGTAAAGGAAAAATCATGGTTTGGCAGGGCTGCCAACTTTTGGTTTTAACTTGGAGTGAGAATTTTTGCCCTGCCCTTACGACTCAAACAACGCCCCCCACAAAGCCACACACCTTTTTATTTATACACACACACATACACACACATACACACACACACACACACATGTTACTACCATTGAGTTACACAATGCAGCATTTAGCTCGCTCGTAAACATCGCCGCTGTCCTCAGATCATTGTCTGAGCAGAGGTTTCATCATTAGCCCTGACTGTCAGATGCTCTTCATCTCAGGAGCTGTATTTTTAGATGCTTGATAACAGATATAAGGTGAGTTATGGCTGGAGTGGACGCTGCCAGACGGGCTTTCATTCATTTTGGCATGACAGGAGAGAACAGGATACTAATGAGTGACAGAGAGAGTCCACAAAAACTGCTCTCCGGTTGCATTTTATTTGATGAATATTATCTTTTAGAGCAGGGGTGTCAAACTCAATTCCTTGAGGGCCGAAGCCCTGCACAGTTTAGCTCCAACCCTGCTCCAACACACTTACCTGTTGGTTTCAAACAAGCCTGAAGGACTCAATTAGTTTGATCAGGTGTGTTTAATTAGGGTTGGAACTAAACTGTGCAGAGCTGCGGCCCTTTTGGAACTGAGTTTGACACCTGTGCTTTAGAGCTTCGAGTCGTGCCTCAGGTTTTTCCCTCAGGTGTTTCTCGTCAGATTTGTTGTAGAAAGGTGAGAAATGTTTGAGTTTAAGACATACTTAAATTAATATATAAGCTAAGAGATGAAGTTAAAGATATTTGTGCAAAGCATTTATTTATAAATTATATTTGTAAATAAATGAAGCAGGAGCGATGCGAGAGGCGCGCTGGTATGTTTTCAGCGCGCATGCGTCAGTTTGTTTTTGATTGCATTGCTTTCACCAGTGTTGGTTCGGTTCCACAGAGAGAATAACATCTTTATATTAAAGCTGCAAGCAGCGATGATAGGGACCTCGCACCCGGGCTCACCGCCGCCCGGTGGCCTCAGGATAATAGAGAACAGCGAACAATAATATTTTAAGCCGATATATACAAAGAAGCCGAGAAAATCACAGATTTATGCCAAACTTCCTCCTGTCAGCAGGTGGCGCTATGACTGTGACTCAAGATTGGTATGTAGATGTCTTCAGGAGAGGAATCTTATCAACCATGTGAATTTTCAGTCAGGTCGGACGTTGTTTGGCTGAGTTATAAGCCAAACTTCTTGTTGCCAGCAGGTGGCACTTTGACTGTCTTAATGTTGGTATGTGTCAATGTTGGTATGGTGTGTGCCAATTTTCGTGCATGTGCGTGATTTGTAGGTCTGGGGCTCGTCCGTTTAATTTTTCTAGGTGGCGCTGTCGAGTCATTTTGCCACACCCACTTCCGAGACCCATAATAAACGTACATTTTCGCCACTTCTGAGGCGTGTGCAAAGTTCCGTGAGTTTTCGGGCATGTCTAGCCCCTCAAAATCGCGATTCATTCCGGAAAAGAATAATAATAATAATAATAGTAATAATAATAATAATGATAATAATAATAATAATAATAAACGGAGCAATTCCAATAGGGCCTTGCACCGTTCGGTGCTCGGTCCCTAATAATTATAAACGTCTTTAAAACCGTCTTTATTATAACGGAATACATATTCCACGGAGATGATTTTACTGCTTACTTTTTCATACTTCAGCCTCCACATCAAAGTTCCTGACAGCAAAGAAGGTCATGGTGCTCCAGGATTGGCCAGCCCAGTCACCAGACATGAACATTATTAAGTATGTCTGAGGTAAGAAGAAGGGCGCATAGAAGATGAATCCAAAGACTCTTGATGAACTCTGGGAGTTCTGCAGGAACGCTTTCTTTGCCATTCCAGATGACTTTATTAATCAGTGATTTGCATCATTGCAGAGATGTATGGATGCAGTCCTCCAAGCTCATGATGGAGTCAGACACAATATACATTCTGTCTCCACTGCAGCAGGACTTTATATTCTATAGTGGACATTATTTCTGTATTATATTTTGGTAAAATAAGCGTAATCTAGAGGCCTTTGCCTTTCATTTAAGCTACCTCTAATACCAAAAGATCAACAAGTCAGGATATCATTTGTTGTTCCTGAAACTTGGATAGGCCACAAAACTTTTTTCAGGAAGTGTTTATATTATTAGATTACATTGTCATATATTGACCCTTTGCGTTTAAAAAAACTGGGTTGTTTGGAACACGTCAAAGACATTTTGAAGGACTTTGAAAAATGGTAACCATTGACTTCTATAGTATTTTCTTTTTCCCCACAATGGATGTCAACAATTACTGGTCTTCAACATTCTTCAAAATACCTTATTTTGTGTTCAATGAATCAAAAAACTCAAACTGGGTAAATGTTAGTAAATAATGAGAGATTTTTAATTTTTGGCTCAAATATTGCTTTGAGGCGCACTGGCGCAGTGAGAATGGCGAAAACAAATTATTCAAAGACCCATGCTATGTAAAAATATACAGACTAATTCTGGCGCCCATTATTATATGGCCAAAAAGACACTACATTTTCCAATATGTCTATATTAATATATAAAGACAATAAATGTGTTTATTATAAACGTATAAATGCTTAGTTTTATGATCAAATCTCTGTTGCTTTAATTGTGAGGTAATACATATCCACTGATGATTGAGAGATGAAAAACACTGCTTAAAATGTTGATGGATCACATTTGACATTTTAATAAAATATCATATGGATAATCAAGTTATTTCAAATCAACTCATCTTGAAATGTTGCTACAGGTGTAAAAGTTATTATTAAATTTACACAATCCACATTCTGTGCAAAAAGGCTCAACCTTACTGTAGGTTTTACCAACCTTCCTATTGTTTTCCCCACCGTGATGCCTTACTTTCCAAAGAATGTAGTAAACAGTGTTGGATAAAGTTACTTTTAAAAGTATTTATTACAATCGTAAGCCTATCTTAATATTTTAGTTGCCATGTTTCCAGTATGAATTAGCATGTTGCTAGTATGTACATAGTATGATTAGCATGTTGCTAGCATGTTTTTAGTATAGATTAGCATGTTGTTAGCATGAATTTAGTATGAATTAGCATGTTGCTAGTATGTTTCTAGTATGGATCGGTGTGTTGCTAGTATGTTCAATGTAAAGTTAACGGCTGTGTCCGAAACCGCCTACTACTCAGTAGGTACTGCATTTGAATTTAAACGTACTACTCGGCCGTTAGAAAAGTACTTTCTATACAGTATGAATGTGAAAAGTATGAATGGAATTCGGACGTACTACATCCGCCACTTTGTCATGGTCACATGACCTACCTGCGTCAGTTGCGTCGCTTCACGTCCATTTAAGAATTCTCTTGCGGGTTCATTATGGGATAGCGCAGCGTGCATGGGATGCAAACTCCAGAATCTCGCCGGAAGTAGTAAGTCATCCGGGTACTTCTCGCATACTGATTTTCGAATTCTATGAATTCGGACATACTACTCGGCTCGCATACTGATTTTAGCGTACTATACAGTATGGAAGGATGCGGTTTCGGACGCAGCCAACAGCTGTTTCTCAATTCCAAGAATGCAGAGAACGGACTTGTGTTCTTGTGGAGACTGGTCTTCCTAGGTGTCTTTTGAGGAACGAACTCAAGAGACCACGAGAACAGAGAACACGTCCTTAGAGAAATGAGATGCTGCGTTCTTCCTGATGGTCACATGACCTTCACCCGTTTTAAATGGTAAATTATTCAAACATTACAGCATTTTGTTTTTCCCCTTTTCAAAATACATACCTTGCATAAAAACATAAATATACTCTGCACAATATGAATAAAACAGATTTTAATATGAATTTTAGCAAACAAACACCCTTAATGTGTTTATTCCTTTATTAAGATGTCCATGGTAATGTTTATATTCACCGTTTCATTTAGGGAAACTCCTGAAGTAAATAAGTTAAATCTCTGAACTTTAATAATATATCTAGATAAAATGCTGCGCTTCCCACCTCCAGTCGCAATGACTTCTGGGACTTCTAGAGCGAGTTCGATACTCAAGTCTGCATCGGTGCGTCCTCGATATCAAGATCACATCCAGGAAGTTTCACGCATCCTCCGTATTTGTGGTCTTGAGAATTGGAACTGAACTTAGGCAGCTGATGATGACGTTGCACGAGGACGCAAGACCGCTGAAGAACGCATATTGAGAAACAGCCACTGGCAGTTTTTTTACAATGGAAGTCTATGGGACAGTTACTAGGGTGCCGTAAGTGGTTGCTAGGGTGCAGCTAGTAAGTTGAAAGGTGATCAGTGATTGGCAGATTGGGAGTCTGAGTTAAATGAGCTCAAACTTAAGTCAGTATGACAGAGTTAAGAGGTCACTAAGTTTGGTCCAGTGTTAAGTTAATGGGACTTTTCAGGATTTCCCAGGTCAGTTTTTGAAAAACCATAAGTCGGATCAGTTGGAAAAAATATAGCAACCCTAGTCAGACCAGTTAGGAGGTTTGGTGTTAGTTTAGTGGTTGTAGTATAAACGGTCAAGGAGGAGATGCATATAGTAATTAGTTTCAGAGGAAGAATATTAAGTTTATGTAGTATAACAGTATGTTGGCCACCAAAATAAACATGAATAGAATTAGTGTAACGGAGGCCAGCTAGTAAGTGCTGTGCAGCTAAACATCACTACTCTGACCTCTAATTATGCTCTAGCGACAGATACTGAAGCCATGGTATTTGGCCTCCTTGGTAGAGCAACCGACTCCCATACGAAAGGTCGCCGGTTCCATCCCACCTTGGATCGGGTTGGGTGGTGTAGGACTGGTGGGGTTACATTCGTGCCGTGACTAGGATGGGAGTGAGGTTTAGGGGGTGAGTGTAACGGAGGCCAGCTAGTAAATGCTGTTCAGCTAAACCTCACTCCTCTGACCTCTAATGGTGCTCTAGCGACAGATACTAGAGGCCATCGCTGCGTCCGAAACCGCATACTTCCATACTGTATAGTACGCTAAAATCAGTATGAGAGCCGAGTAGTATGTCCGAATTCATAGAATTCGAAAATCAGTAGGCGAGAAGTACCCGGATGACTTACTACTTCCGGCGAGATTCTGAAGTGCGCATCCCATGCACGCTGCGCTATCCCATAATGCCCCGCGAGAGAATTCATAAATGGAAATGAGGCGACGCAACTGACGCAGGTAGGTCACGTGACCACGACAAAGTGGCGGATGTAGTACGTCCGAATTCCAATCATACTTTTCACATTCATGCTGTATAGAACGTACTTTTCTAACGGCCGAGTAGTACATTTAAATTCAAATGCAGTACCTACTAAGTAGTAGGCGGTTTCGGACGCAGCCCATGTCTTTGGCCTCCTTGGTAGAGCAACAATTCCTGTACGGAAGATTGCCGGTTCGATCCCAGCTCGGACCGGGTTGAATGGTGTAGGACCATTAAAAGTTAAAAACTCACCTGCTCATGGATATCCAAAAAACTGAAGCACCATTTTGATTCAACACAACAAATCTACTCACGTGCATTCATGAGCTCACCTCTGAATCAAGAACCGTCTAAAATGTGGTACAAAATGACTTTATTAAAACATTTTCTCATATTAAAATTTAATAACTAGAAAACGTATTTCCACATGGGCTAAATCTGACAGGTACTACGTTGTCGAATTCCTCTTGAGCGCCACAGGCAGAGTGAGAAAGTCTTCAGCCAGAATGACGTCCGTCCTGGAACCCTGCAGCACCAGCTCAGCTTGTCTCTTCAGCTCTGAAACATCGTCTTCATCATCATCTCGCCGGAGATTTTCAGGTTTGTATCGTTGACTGAAGTGGTGGAGCACCAGTGTTTTCGCCTCACATGTGAGCGCCACCGCCGCAGCCATGCCAGGAGTGCTGTGTCCATGTTCAACAGCCTTCTCCTGCTGCCCGTTCTCCAGCGTGGCCTCATGCACCAGAACATCAGCACCGTAACACGCCCGTTTAAATCCCTCGCCCAGTGGAGCACTGCAGTCCCCGAAAACACACACCTTCCGGCCCTTCAGCGGCGGCTCCAGCACCTCACCAGCTGTCAACACACGGCCACTATCTAGAGTCACCGACTGTCCGTTCTTCAGACGCCCGTATAGAGGGCCTGGTTTCAAACCTGGAAATACGTGAGCAAATGTTATATGTTTGACAAAAACACAGTTCATATTGCTCAAAACATAGGGGGCGCCCTTGTATGTCTGCAATGGAAACTGGAGGTCATCTGGTGGTCATCTCTGGTATTGTGGCCAAACAAAATCTTACTGAAAGCTCTTTTTTTTTTGAGATATCAACTTCAAATTTGGAATGGAAATTGTTCAGATATAATAATAAACCAAGGTAGCATAGTGGCTCAGTAGTTAGCACTGTTGCCTCACAGCAAGGAGGTCACTCTTTTGAGTTCCGGCAGAGTTTGCATGTTCTCCCAGAATTTGCTGACAGTACGTTCACACCGAAAGCGGCGAGCGCGTCCAAGGTCGCTCTGGCCGCTCTGGTGACAACGCTGTCTGCCTTCAGTTAAGGCGGAGAGAGCGTCAAAACTCGCTACATTGATCTCGTATTTAAAGGAGCCGTTGCAGCATATCAGTTATATTCCTGCATAAAACATGTTTCTAGCGTGAAAATGTTGCGCATTTCTTATCAAACTCATATAACATTGGAAGATCAAGTTGCATGTGGTGTGGCTTTGCTCTATTTATCCAATATGTGTCCATATGTCTGAAATATCCTGAAGCAGCTAATGTTATACTGTTATGTACTTTCACATCGCATGAGATTCCTGCTTTTTTAAGATAAATTTATATAACATTAATGAACATCAGTAACTCGCCAGTAACTTATTTAATGTATGTTCCTGTAGGAAAACATTGTAAATAATGAAAGCTATGACGCCGAACCACGTCATAGCTCATTACCATAAAGTTGACTTCATTTCAACTCTCCTCGACGCTCATGCCAGCGAAGACGCGCCGCGCTGCTCCTCGCTGTTTATTGCCGCCGGCTCTCATTGAAAATGAATGACTTCCGGCTATTTTTATGCTCTCGCTGCTTTCGGTGTGAACGTACGGTCAGGTTTCCTCCAGGTGCTCCGGTTTCCCCCACAGTCCAATGACATGCGCTATACTATGCACTATACCCATACCAAGAGTGTATGGGTTTTCCCAGTACTAGGTTGCGGCTGGAAGGGCATAAACAAATGCTGGGATAGTTGGCGGTTCATTCTGCAGTGGTGACCCCTGATAAATAATGAACTAAGCCAAAGGACAATGATTGCATGAATGAATAATAAGCATACACTACTAATGGTTGGGCCTATAGACAATGCTATCGCTAATCGCCTATGGGCGATAGACATCACGATGCTGAGCCGGCATCACGAAACTCTGCCCCGAAGGGAAAAATGCGAAAAATACACACTTAGGCCCCATTTACACTAATACGTCTTAGCTTTATAATGGCATTTTAAAGTGAAAACGATCCACACTGGCTTTTCATCTAGCACAGGGTTTTTCAAAGTCTAAGACAGTGGGCCTCCCTTTTGACACAACTTATCCATTGGCGCCCCCCTCCTCCCAAACACGCACGCACGCACGCACGCACGCACGCACGCACACACGCACACATATATATATATATATATATATATATATATATATATATATATATATATATACACAGTATATAAAGACACAGACAGATGTCAGACTGTTAACTCACTTTTATCATCATTTGCATGAAAGTGCAATTATTTACAGAGTAATAACAAGTATTTTAATATAACGTTTTTAAAACTAGGATGATGGTTCAATATGAATAGAACAGATCCAAGAACAGTTCATCCCAGTCAAAACAGTCGAAGTTTAGCCGGTCTCATGCTGTCATTAGCCAAAATATTTTGACAAACCACACATAAAGGTCGTGGTTCATCAGCTGGTCCTGTCCACGTAAATCCTAAACTCAAATACTGATCATCATATCGTCGTCTTTTGGGTTTAAGCCCTGAACTTGAAGGCTTTTGTGGCGAGGGGGCGTGGCCGAGAGCCGTGGGAACGGAGTGAGGCCACCGCGTAAGTGGATACACCTGCGGTGCGCACCTGCCTCAGATCCCACGGAAGGAGGTCTGGATCATAAAAGGAGGAACGAGGGCAGAGGAAGCCGAGAGAGGACCGGACCCAGACATATTTTACTTTTGCTTTCAGTTTGACGGCGGTCTCCGTGAGGAGCTGCCGTCCGTTTGTTCTGGTTTAGACGGCAGCCTCCGTGAGGAGCTGCCGTCACTGTCATTAATAAATCTTTTTAAAACTGCGTCAGTTCTCCACCTCCTTCTTCCCGGCGGCCAAAGGGCCGTGAACTTCATTACAGCTTTGAATCGGGGGCGTCTCAGAAACCGACCCATTGTATTAGCAGGCATATACCTGCATTGGCGGGCTTGCCAAACAGAAGCGAATTCACAGCTATGGCCTTCTGGGTAAAGGTTTTCTTTTATTTGACGTATTATTTTTTTTGCTTTGTTTAATTAAAACGTTTAAATATAATAAAAAATACATATAATAATTAAACTTAATAATTATATTTTTATTATATAATATTTTTTCCCGCGCCTCCCCTGACATGCTCTGGCGCCCCCCAGGGGAGGCGCGCCTCACACTTTGAAAACCCCTGATCTAGCATTTCTGAACAGCCCTCCGTCCACAATATACCGCTGAAAACACACATCATGTGACTACACACACACAGACACACTGTCATGCGCTCGAGACAGCGGGTCTAGGCAGTCAGCGAGACAGTACACTGCTTCAATCTTTCACTTTCACGCTTGTACTTAGTAATTTTATTGAAAACCTCAGACACTGTTTGTGGTTCCTAGGGGCGTTGCTAGACATCAAAATATGAAAAAAAATGCTCCCTCAAAATATAAAAAAAAATAATATGTATATATATATATATATAAAACAAATAAATTATATATAATTTTTATTTAATAACAGTATTATTGTTATTCTACAATTATTATTCTAAATAAATAACAGAAATGAATCCTAAATGTAACTGTAAAAATTACAGGCACAACTGGAGTGATGCTAAGATCATTTAAGAAATCTTTTGCATGAATATTAATTTAATTTGATTAATAAAGCCCCTTAAATAACTTTGGGTTGCCACAGCGTAATGAACCGCCAACTTATCCAGCACGTTTTTACCAATGACTGTAAAAAATATGGACGACGCGACAGCCCCTTTTCCCATTGAACGCTTTGAGGGCAATACGCCTGCTTGACGGGCACAAACTGTCGCAAAAGACTGCTGAAATTGGAGCCTTGACATGCGCAGAAGGACTGTCTGATGGAGCCAGAGGAGGAGCCGCGAAAATGAGTCGAGCTTCCAACCAAACGCTTTATGTAAAATCAACCACGCCCCCCGAACTGCTCAGCATGCGTTTGCTGTCATATCAACACAAATGGATGTAATAACATTAACAAATATGAGGGTTTTATATATTCATTCGCGCCAGCTCCGGGCAACAGCGCATAACCTACTCGCGGCGTTGCGGGCTGATTCCGGCTCGCATGCGGCAGCGCCGGCTCGCTCTGCCGCCGCATCTGGCTCGATTGACTCGGGCTGGAATCGGGCAGTGAGTTCAGGCATCCGGAATAGGTCCAGCAGAGGTAGTCAGTCTGAGGGGTAAGTCTCCGGCAGGCGAGAATCTAGCCGGAACTGGCCCGAGTGTATCGAATAATAACACTTCAGTCTCCTGCCGAAGCTCAGACGCGCTGCTTTGAGAAACTGTCAATCACAGCTGTCAATCACGATGACACGCCCAGCATTAAATTACTGCTAAAAACAAACTGTTTACAAAAATGAAGATCTGCACCTATTTCAGCACAATAATCAGTGCCTTAATCGACCAGAACTATCTTTCGGGACATTTTATTGCAAGTGTAATAATTTTTTTTATTTGGGTTCAAGTCTCCTTCATAAACACGGAGGAGGCGGGCTTTATGACTTGTACTGCAGCCAGCCCCCAGGGGGCGATCTAACGGCCGAGACCTTCACTCAAACGCAGGCTTGCGGCACACTTGGTTTTTACACAGTGGATGCCCTTCCTGCCGCAGCCCATCTCTGGGAAACATACACACACACACACACACACACACACACACACACACACACACACACACACACACACACACACACTCATACATTACGGACAATTTAGCCTACCCAATTCACCTGTACCACATGTCTTTGGTCTGTGGGGGAAACCGGAGCACCCGGAGGAAACCCACGCAAACACAGGGAGAACATGCAAACTCCACACAGAAACGCCAACTGACCCAGCCGATCAGGCTCAAACCAGCGACCTTCTTGCTGTGAGGCGTCAGCACTACCTACTGCGCCACTGCATCGCCTGACAAAATTCGTGTTTACGAAATATAAAACTGATAAACATTCAAAGCTTGCAGTTTCACTTCTGCCTAAATGGATCACCAATTTTTTTCACATCACCTCATACTTCAGTTTCTTATCAAATCTTGACCAATTAAATGCTTTCTAGTATCTGACATGCCCCGCCCCTTCTCATTTGCTTATCATTAATGTGCTTGACCTCAACCACCCTCACTGGCAGAGCCGTGATAAAAACAAAACCCCATTGGCTGTTTTTTTAAAAAGGGGAGGAGTTACACTGTGCCATCCTCTCTTCATGTGTCAGTTTTCAGATTTTGTCAAACCTCAAATAACAAATGCACATTTCAAAGGTCTCTTTAACTCTAGTGGAGCTGTAAAATGAGATTTTACCAAAAAGTGGAGTGTCTTCATAACTTTAATGAGTTACCTAGTTCTTTCAGCAGGTCTGTGTTCAGCCGTCCCGGACGTTCTCTCTCCTCCACCGAGAAGCCGAATGAGGGGACTCTGTGGAAGAGCTTGAACGCTTTAACCACAAACTGTTTGTCATCAATGAGGTGGTAACAGTCCGTGTCGGGGTCTGGATGTACAGTTCTGCCAGGACGCTCCTGCGGGTGAAGGGTTTCACTGGCGGTGGTCAGAGCAGGACTGAGATGCCCCTCTTCAGGACACTGCTCATCGGACGGCTGCAGTTCATGCACAGCATACGGAAAAAGCAACTGCGAGCCAGACAACTGCAACGCCACACGGATGAAGAGTCTCAGTCCTCGCGGGCCGTAAATGTCCACACAGGGCGGAGGCTGATCTGGCTGAGGGTTCAAATTCAGACTGATGGTGCACAGCAAACCGGGAAGACCAAACAGATGGTCTCCATGAAGGTGCGAGATGAACACCTTGCTGATTTTACCTGAAGACAGAACATGGGAAACATGGGTTATTCTGCTAGATATGAAGCTTCATAGTTAATAGTAGCAAGAATGTCTTAAACCAGTGGTTCTCAAACTGTGGTACGTGTACCACTAGTGCAGGGGTCACCAATCCTGATCCTGGAGAGCCGGTGTCCTTGCAGGGTTTAGTTCCATCTTGCATCAACACACCTGCCTGGATGTTTCAAGTATACACAGTAAGACCTTGATTAGCTTGTTCAGGTGTGTTTGATTAGGGTTGGAGCTCAAATCTGCAGGACACCGGCCCTCCAGGAACAACTTTGGTGACCACTGCACTAGTGGTACGCAGGCTTCCTTCTAGTGCAGGGGTCACCAGCCTCGGTCCTGGAAGGCCGGTGTCCCTGCAGGGTGTAGCTCCAACTTGCCTCAACACACCTGCCTGTGTGGCTGTTTCTCAATATGCGTTCTTCAGCGGTCTTGCGTCCTCGTGTTCTCGTGCAACGTCATCATCAGCTGCCCAAGTTCAGTTCCAATACTCAAGACCGCAAGTACGGAGGAAGCGTGAAACTTCCCGGATGTGATCTTGATATCGAGGACGCACTGATGCAGACTTGAGCACCGAACTGGCATTGGAAGTCCCAGAAGTCATTGCGACTGGAGGTGGGAAGCGCAGCATTTTATTTAGATTTATTATTAAAGTTCAGAGATATCACTTATTTACCTCAGGAGTTTCCCTAAATGAAACGGTGAAAGTAAACATTAACATGAACATCTTAATAAAGGAATAAACACATTAAGGGTGTTTGTTTGCTGAAATTCGTATTAAAATCTGTTTTATTCATATTGTGCATTATAGATTTATAATGTTTTTATGCAAAGTATATATTTTGAAAAGGGAAAAACAACAAATCGTTGTATGAAGGCTGTAATGTTTAGGTAATTTCCATTTAAAAGACGTGAAAGTCACGTGACCATCAGGAAGTACGCAGCATCTCAATTCTCATAGGACGCGTTCTCTGCCCTCGCGGTCTCCTGAGTTCGTTCTTCCGAGGACACCTGGCAAGACCGGTCTCCACAAGAACACAAGTCCGTTCTCTGCGTTCTTGGACTTGAGAAACAGCCAGTGTTTCAAGTATACCCAGTAAGACCTTGATTAGCTTGTTCAGGTGTGTCTGATTAGGGTTGGAGCTAAAATCTGCAGGACACCTGCCCTTCAGGAACAAGTTTGATGACCCCTGTTCTAGTGGTACGCGGAGGAATTGCTGAATAATTCAAGCAAAAAATTAACACTTTTAACCCTTGACGCATACGATAACAACAATGTGATCAGGAAATTGATTCTAATAAGCTAAACCTTTTATTTTATTTTTAATTTCCTAATGTTTATTATGTATTCTGAAGCTAAACCCCTCCCCATATTTGTACCGGTTGTTGAGGGCGTATCCTGTATTTTTATATCCCAAAATTGACAGGTACGGTTTAATGACTTGCTTTCTTGACACACAAAGCCTTTAACACGCAGTAAGCAGATCTAATTTCTAAATTAAATATGTAAATACAAATCATACATTTAAGGTTAATGTTAAGATTTCAAAGACATACAAGTAAATCAGATGCAATATCGATTTCAATTCTTTTTCAAAAACATTTTATACATGTTCCTTCTCCTTTATGGCTCCTACACTCTGGAATAGCCTTCCTAATAACATCCGAGGCTCAGACTCACTCTCTCAGATCAAAACTAGATTAAAGACCTATCTGTTTAGTAAAGCGTACACTCAGTGCATCACTTAGCGGGTATCACACAAGTGTCTGCATCTTGCTTATATACACTATGAACAGCAGCTACGCTAATTATTCTCTTTTTTTTTCTCCATTTCCACCTGTGGATACTCATCCCAAGGTCCGTAGATTTTGCGGAGTCACTGATTGGATCCAAGACCAGCGACGAGATGATCCCAAGGTGTCCGGGACCAGGCCGTATCCTGAGCTGCTGCTGCGCTGGTGGACATGGGGGAGTGGAGAGCATGAGACTGATTCCAGCGACGCTCCAGGGACAGACGAGTCTTCCAGCCTCCACCGGTGAGACTGCAGCTCAACACAAGACTTTTGGCCAATGGAGAAATTAAAATGGTTGTGCCGAACTGAGTCTGGTTTCTCTCACTGTTTGTTTTCTTCACTCTCCTATCGGTGAAGTTTTTTTCCCCTCTCTGCTGTCGCCTCTGGCTTGCATGGTTCAGGATCTGAAAAGCTACGCATCGATGGATTTGCTCTTCAGTGTTTGGACTCTCAGTAATGATTTTAAACCACACTGAACTGAGCTAAACTGAACTGAACTTAAACACTAAAAACTGAACTACCATGATCCAGTTACTATAACCATTTATATGAAACTGCTTTGACACAATCTACATTGTAAAAGCGCTGTACAAATAAAGCTGAATTGATGTGAATTGAATATAATCACAAATAGCCTATATTTATGAGGTCCAAGGAACATTTCCAAGTTTTTTTATGACTACACTACTATATGTTATTCCTTTACATTTAAATACAGCACTTTTATTTTCCTATTTAAGAACAGTGCCATTTTAATTAACTTTTAGAAGCATATTTAAATTTAAACATATTTTTTTTATCTGTAAGCATAGTGCAGTGTTAAAGTATAAGCAATTCCTATGATTAAAATGGCAGACAATAATAAATATTCATAATAATAGAAATTAATCTGCTTCATTTTTTAACTGTGCAGAGCTTTGGCTGCTTGATTAGGCCTACTACGCTACTGCATTTCAATATATTATGGTGGTACTTGGAGAGACATTTTTTTCTGAGGTGGTACTTAGTGAAAAAAAGTTTGAGAACCACTGTCTTAATCTAATCTAAGCAACATTACGTAACAATAATATGTAATAATTTCAAGTAAGTGCTGTTAATTTTAACAATTATTTCCCCTTATTTATATACTAATATACACTTGTAATCATGTTTATCTATCCCTGTATATATATTCATATATTGTAACACATACACTTGTAATCATGTTTATCTATCTGCACACTACTGATTATTAATAGCAACCTGCACATATATTCATATATTGTAAATCTGTTCATAGCTTATCCAACCTGTTTATAATGTTCATAGTACATCCATCTGTAAATATCACCATAGTTTTCTATAACTGCACTTTATAACTTATTCCTGTATCCTGCACTTGCTGCTATTGCACTGCTGGTTAGACCTAAACTGCATTTCGTTGCATTGTACTTGTACATGTGTAATGACAATAAAGTTGAATCTAATCTAATCTAACTTAAATAAATGATTAAATATGAATTAAATTAAATACAGATATACTATTTTCAAATATTTGTTTTAGATACAATCAATGTCAAATTATATAAAGATAATAAGTCAATTTAATTAAACAGAAATGTGATTTTAACAATAAAAGCTTTGAACTTTTGCAAAAATGTAACATCATTAGCCCTAAAGAAGACCTTTTTTTCTGACTGACAACTCAACAGTAGAAACCTGCCACAACACAGAGACCCGTGTCAGAGAACAGCAGCGGCAGTGAGTGAGAGTCTGACCGGCTCTGAGTGTGCTCTTCATCAGCTGGATCTGCGTTCCCTCCCCGCAGTCGAAGAGCCAGTTTTCCCCTTCAGTCCTCAACACGAGAGCGGACGCGCCGCGGTGAGGAGACGGGTACGCGGAGCCGGTCCCGAGGAACGTCACATCCATCGACATCTTGCAGATTTCTGGGCATTTACCAGATTAGTAACACATAAACACTGTCAGGAGAAGGATACACGAGCGTTAACCATGGCTATCAGCTGAGGCACGACTGACAGGAGTCGAACACACGCGTTCTGATATCAACATCCGGGGTACGAGCACTGACGAGGACGCGCCTGATGAAGAGCAGACATGCGTAGAAAACTACGGACTGTTGTAAAAGTTGGATTTCTAGTAATGACCACCACCCTCCCTATCCTTAAGTCACCACTAGAGGGCAACGCCTATAAATATTGGAGAAGGGTATTCCTGCACAACTGGAGTGGCTGCACTCTCAGGACCGCATTTTTAGGATCGCATCTTTAGGATCCTAGTTTTTTGTGACAGCGTCAACTGTCGGATTGGATCATGGATTCGCTAATGGACGACACGGATGACAAGGAAAGTGTAAGTACCGATTTTTCTATTAAGTTTTATTTTAAACTGTTAAAATATGTGTTTATTTTGTAATGCTGCTGTTTTATACTGTGAGTTTATGCAGAAATGCCAGATTAGCCTGCATGATTTACCCCACTTTTAAGGGTCTGGGACAAAAATATTACGTGACGATTTTTTTCCAGAAGAAGAATAAAATATTATAATAATAAACATGGATAATTTTACACAGCCAGAGTGAGAGCTGCTATAAATGTTAATAATTTTCTAGAGTTCGTTTTCTAGTTTGATTAAATGCTACGACGTTCCTAGCTCGTGGTTTAATGAAACATTGTTGATTTTATGGCTTAATTGTTGACTTAACGGCTAATGTGCTTAGTGACATGCATTAAACTAAGATGGTAAAAGCACGTTTGATGTGAGAGTTTCAGATTTATCTATATTTTACTGAATTCGTGTTATTCGTTGTATTACATTAGCACATTAAAAATTGTGCTGACTGCCTGTTTGCCCCACGATACTGTATGTGTTATTAGCCTGATGTTTTGTCATCGTTTTAAAGTGATGAATGAGATTCTGAAAGTTAGGCTTATTCTGCAGGTCTTAACCATATAAAATCTCATATCATTAATTTATATCAGGTATGTTTTACCTGGCGAATAAGAAGTGATGGCCAATATGATTGGATTGCTTAGGCTCATTGTAGGAGGAAAAGAAAACAAACTACAGGAATATTTTCATTGAGGTTATCTCAAACTGTTGAGTAACACTTTATAACATCTGCATACTATAAATAAATAATTATTAAGCATTTAATAACTAGTTAATTTATTATTTTATTTGTTTAGCATTAACTCTACATTTAATAGACATTGATAAGCAGTTTATAAATACAGTTACAAATGCTAGCTGCGTTCTTGAGTTTATAGCATGATGAGGTGCAGCTTATCTGTGGTGTTCATTTTCCAGAGGAATGTCTGGCCAAATAAGTATATAAACTGCATGCTGGGTGCTACTCATTTATGAATCCATGTAAAATGATTTGCTGTTCTGTGGTGGTATTTTAGTTCATATTTAAATGATTTTTTTTTCATAGGCCATCGTAGGGTCATTTTTGTGGTTGAATTGCATTAATTAAAAAAAGTGTGGATATTTATATAAATGTACATTCTTGAATCATTCTTGCATCTTGTCTCTCTAAAACCTTAACAACCTGGTTTTAAATTAGTAACTTCAAATGCTGATCCCATTTGATTTAAATTTATTTTCTTTAATACTGAGCTAATTAGTTCAATGTAATGGGGTTTATCAATATACAGTATTTTTCAAGGAATTTAAGACTTTTAAGGCACTCAACTCTATTTATTCATTTATATTTTAGGTGTAAATTCATTTGTTTCATTTTAAAATTGTTACTTAAAGCAGGCGTTTTACACTTTAACCTCTGTAATAAAAGTGCCTGAAAGTTTCCGCTATATAATCCAATTCGGTAGGTGGCGCAGTTACAAAACGGGTCCTAGAAATGCAGTTTCACTATGTCATCCAATCTGGTAGGTGGTGCTTCCGCAAAAAACTAGGGTCCTAAAAATGCGGTCCTAAACATGCGGTCCTGAGAGTGCAGTTACTCCAGTTGTGCAGGATCATACTATTGGGAGTAAAAGGCCTTTTGTCTCGTTTTACGCTAAAAGCAACAACTAAAAGAATGTCAAAGTTTATTTAACTAAATGTATTTTAATTACATTACAACATCGATGCTGTAAAAATAACCGTATAAAGTGGAAAAGAAACTCACAATAATATGTCACCGGAAGTTTATAAGTATGGGAACAACACTAGCTCGGCATATACCCTATTATATTCATCTGTCTCCATATTCTACTGCATCTCAGAATATTTCACAGCACCAAAATTGTAAAAATATATATTGAATATATTTAAAATGTTTTTGTCCACAGCAGACCGTGACGCAGATTCCCGGTCGGCGTGCTCCAATCAGGTGAGCCCTCTTCAGCGCTCACCATGACAACGAGACTCACAGCACAGCAGTGACGTGCCTTGTAAAAATTTGCATATGTATTCCTATAAAGCTTCTCGGTTCTCTCTCAGCGCTGTCAGTTCGCCCGGTGTAGCTGTTTGTACTTGACCAAGGTGAGTTCAATACCGACGGTACGAGTGGAGCCACGCCAATCTCAAGAAGTCCGCTTCGTGAAGCTTCACCCGGGCCCGTCTGTGCTGTAGTTCCTTGCGGTTTGCATACATAAACGCAATATCGCGAAGAACATTACGTGTTTGTTGCTCGAAATGTGCCGCCGAGCAACATCCAGTGAATACTGGCACGGCCTGGCGCCCGGTCTTTCCGTGCACTCCCTGGGGCGAGGCGGCCTTTGAGCCCTAGGCAGGGAGCAAACAACCCCCGAGGACCCTCAGGGAAACACGGGGGGCCGGTAGTGGGACCTCGCTGCGAGGGTTATGGTGGGTGGGAGTAGCGAGGCCCACTCATCTTCTATTTTAAACTATAGTTTCAAACTTTAGTTTACTATAGTTTGAAATAGAAACCATGGTAACTGTTATGATTTAACTTTATGCAAAGAGCTTAGAATGACCGAGAGCAACAGACCCGGATTCCGCCATTTTGAAGTGATCGCGATCGCTCGTCATTGCTGTCGCGATGGAAAGCAGCTGCTTTGTTTTTATTTAATTTATTCAAAAAGCGCGTTATTGTTTCCCAAATTGTAGAGTGTCGCCTCTTGGTAATTCTATGCTCTTTGCTCTATGTCTGACTGTTGTAATGTTTTGCTTTGTTTTTCAGCAGAGCTGTTGATGAAAGAAGGACTATTGAAGACAACCGCGGGTTATCTCCACGAGCGTGCGCATCATAATGTTTCCGGGCTGTTTTCTGAAAGTTTCACTTGTTTAGATAAGTTTGCAGGTCAAACTAAATAAACTATACTCTTTCTAAACACCCGTCTCGTGTTTTATTTGTCCTCTACAGGAATACATTGTCATATAAGTCTGTTGAATGCATTTGTATGCAACATGGTTTGACAATACAGTAGTCTAACTAATAAATAGCTGTTATAAATGTACCTTCATTAGTCAACATTTGGTGTAGGTAATACAAATGTAATTAAAGATGTCCAAAGACATAACGGTAATGTTATGGTTGTTACATAACTATATTTATGATTATTATTCTGTATGTTTAAAACCAGCAGATTAGACTATATATTTAACATGTCATGAACTTACTGTTATTAATAAAATAAAAATTAATAAAAAGTCCTAATACGGGAAGGGGTTTTGTTTTGGTTTATTATCAACCTACTGTAGGTTTTAGGTTGACTACAGCAGACCTATATCATAATATTGGTAGTCAAGAGTTTTTTAATAACCCAATTTAAGTAAAACGTTTCTTACTCAAGTAGGCTGCTTTTAGCATGCAAAAGTCAAATTTGAGTATATAAAATAGTTTCCAACTAAATTTTGTCTTGTGAAAATGAATGAATATATGGATTTGTATGTATTTTGTTTTTTAATAATTCATAAGTAAATTACTTGTAATTGTTTTTGTATTGTTACTGATATCTGCATTTTATTAAGTGCATTATTTAATGTAATAAAGTACAGAAACACTGCATACTCTAAAGGGGCATGCTATACAGTATTCATGCTATATACTACTACTTAGAGATGAAGTATGTACACTAGATGTCAGCATAACATCACACTTGATTCTGATCATTTATTCAAGAGCAGAACTTATTTTCTTAAGTTTTATTTTATGAATTAATTCATCATATAACCTGTATATTCATATCAATGTTTGCGTATTATCAGCATTTACTTCAAAGTAACCCAGTAAAAAGCAATAGGGTGATTTTATTAAAAAGGTTATAGTTTTATTAATAATCTAAAATAATATTCATTCATTCATTTTCTTTTCGGCTTAGTCCCTTTATTAATCCGGGGTTTCCACAGCGGAATGAACCACTAGCTTATCCAGCGGGTTTTTACGCAGCGGATGCCCTTCCAGCTGCAGCCTATCTCTGGGAAACATCCACACACACTCATTCACACTCATACACTACGGACAATTTTAGCCTACCCCATTCACCTACAGCGCATGTGTTTGGAGTGTGGGGGAAACCGGAGCACCCACGCCAACATGGAGAGACCATGCAAACTCCACACAGAAACATCAACTGACCAAGCCAAGGCTCGAACAAGCAACCTTCTTGCTGTGACGTAAAAGCACTCCCTACTACCCCACCCTCAACAAATGTTACTTAAATACAATCAGCAATGTGTTTTTTTATTTGTAAATAAACTATTATAATAAGGCAGCATGGTGTTTTCATTTACGTATATCATTGTTTGTACTTCTTTTATATTAGCATTAATTGGGTAAGCTAAATTGTCCATTTGTGTGAATGAGTGTGTATGGATGTTTGCCAGTGATAGGTTGCAGCTGGAAGGGCATTCACTGCATAAAACATATGCTGGTAAAGTTGGTGGTTCATTCCACTGTGGTGATCCCGGATTAATAAAGGGACCTGTGCGACCACCTTTGCTTTTCTCCAGATCGTCTGGGGGGGTTGAATCGAGATTGCCATCTTTTTTCAGATTAATCATGCAGCTCCAGTATAGAATATAAA